TCCGACAAACACGTGGCACCGGACGAGACTCGAGCCAAACACACCGAACACACTCAGGGTCACCTTTTCAAATATACAAGAAATGTCTCCTTTGGAAAATAAAGAAACAGGTCTAGAAATCAGACTAAATGAGACTAAAAACCACTCGATTCAAGCATTTATGACCTCATAGTTTGTAGTTTTTTGCAGAGTAGATCCTTTGGAAAGGGCAAAATAAATCTAAAAACTCAGTGGAGGAAGAGTGAGAGACTCTGGAGAGGTCCACAGTGAGGGAGGGATCTGCTTTCACAGTCGGACTCAGGTTGTAGACCCAGGACTGAGGCTGTAGATCCAGGACTGAGGCTGTAGATCCAGGACTGAGGCTGTAGATCCAGGACTGAGGCTGTAGATCCAGGACTGAGGCTGTAGACCCAGGACTGAGGCTGTAGATCCAGGACTGAGGCTGTAGATCCAGGACTGAGGCTGTAGACCCAGGACTGAGGCTGTAGACCCAGGACTGAGGCTGGAGATCCAGGATTGAGGCTCTAGATCCAGGACTGAGGCTCTAGATCCAGGACTGAGGCTCTAGATCCAGGACTGAGGCGGTAGATCCAGGTCTGAGGCTGTAGACCCAGGACTGAGGCTGTAGATCCAGGACTGAGGCTGTAGACCGAGGACTGAGGCTGTAGACCCAGGACTGAGGCTGTAGACCCAGGACTGAGGCTGTAGATCCAGGACTGAGGCTGTAGATCCAGACGCAAATGAAAGAGACCAGATTCTGCAATGAGACCGGTGCTGCAAATATAATAAGTTGAGAGAGAGTAGAGAGAAAGGCCAGAGAGAGAGAGACTAGAGAGAGAGAGTGAGAGACCACTTTCAGTCTCGAATAATGACTTTCTAATCCCATGTAGAAGCAAAGCGATCGTCACGGATGAAGGGAGCAAAGTGACTCTTCTATCTTCAGTCTTCAGATGGCGGGGATGGCACCCAGAAAGAGAGCACCCAGAGAGAGAGCACCCAGGCCTCGAGACGGGACAGATCTACAGTCCCCCAGGAGCCGCCGATTTACGAGCACCGTTTAACCTCCGGATCCCGACCACATGAAGACCTTGGAGCCGAGGTCCTGATTTATGGAGGAGAGAAAATGCAGCCGCGATGTTTTCTCCCTGTGTCAGCCACGATCTGAAACGATAAGGAAAACATGTGATGAGGACGACAGATGCTGAGAGAGAGAGAGAGAGAGAGAGAGAGAGAGAGATCTGAGAGAAAGAGAGAGCAGAGACAGAGCAGAGAGAGACCAGAGAGAGATCAGAGAGAGAGACCAGAGAGAGACCAGAGAGAGAGACCAGAGTCACCAGAGAGAGACCGGAGAGAGACCAGAGAGAGACCAGAGAGAGATCAGGGAGAGGCCAGAGAGAGATCAGAGAGAGAGACCAGAGAGACCAGAGAGACCAGAGAGACCAGAGTCACCAGAGAGAGACCAGAGAGAGACCAGAGAGACCAGAGGGAGACCAGAGAGAGACCAGAGAGAGACCAGAGAGAGAGACCAGAGAGAGACCAGAGAGAGACCAGAGAGACCAGAGTCACCAGAGAAAGACTAGAGAGAGACCAGAGAGACCAGAGGGAGACCAGAGAGAGACCAGAGAGAGACCAGAGTCACCAGAGAGAGACCAGAGAGAGACCAGAGGGACCAGAGAGAGACCAGAGTCACCAGAGAGAGACCAGAGGGAGACCAGAGTCACCAGAGAGAGACCAGAGGGAGACCAGAGTCACCAGAGAGAGACCAGAGAGAGACCAGAGTCACCAGAGAGAGACCAGAGAGAGACCAGAGGGACCAGAGAGAGACCAGAGTCACCAGAGAGAGACCAGAGGGAGACCAGAGTCACCAGAGAGAGACCAGAGAGAGGCCAGAGAGAGACCAGAGTCACCAGAGAGAGACCAGAGGGACCAGAGGGAAACCAGAGTCACCAGAGAGAGACCAGAGGGACCAGAGGGAAACCAGAGTCACCAGAGAGAGACCAGAGAGAGACCAGAGGGACCAGAGAGAGACCAGAGGGAGACCAGAGTCACCAGAGAGAGACCAGAGGGAGACCAGAGAGAGACCAGAGTCACCAGAGAGAGACCAGAGAGAGACCAGAGAGAGACCAGAGAGAGACCAGAAAGAGACCAGAAAGAGACCAGAGAGAGACCAGAGAGAGACCAGAGGGAGACCAGAGTCACCAGAGAGAGACCAGAGAGAGACCAGAGAGAGAGAGAGAGAGAAGACCAGGAAGAGACCAGAGAGAGACCAGAGAGAGAAGACCAGGAAGAGACCAGAGAGAGACCAGAGAGAGACCAGAGAGAGACCAGAGAGAGACCAGAGAGAGACCAGAGAGAGAGGAGAGAGAGATCAGAGAGAGACCAGAGAGAGATCAGAGAGAGACCAGAGAGAGACCAGAGAGAGATCAGAGAGAGAGAGAGAGTGGGACCAGAGAGGGACCAGAAGTTGTCATATTTACACACTTTTTTTTTGTAATGATGATTCTTGTCTTTCCCCGCGGCCTCCTGCGTGAGATCCTTCCTGGGGGGGGGCTCAATCTTTTATTGACACCCCCCCCACCCCCACCCTGTCTCTGTCTCTGCCTCCAGCCAACAGGATCTGATATTTATGAACCCAGGATCAGTGACTCTCTCCTCGTGATGCCTTCAGACCACACACACACACACACACACACACACACATCTTTGGAGAGTCCAGGAGTCCAACACTGACTCACACACTGGAAAAAGTTATATCTCGGTAAGATTTGTTTACTAAAAATAAGTTTTTTTTTTAATCATGTACTTAATTTATCTAGAAAAAGTTGTTTGGAAATGTGAAAGAACACTTAAAACAAGCTTAAAAACTCACTTCTCAGACTTTTTTCTCTAATTAGATTATGAAGTATTGTGATCATGATACTGTGTGTGTGTGTGTGTGTGTGTGTGTGGCTGACTGGTTGCCTCTTGCAGTGTGCCCCAGGGCAGCTGTGGCTACAGTAGTAGTTTATCACCACCGTGTTTGGATAAAGGAATCCAAAAAAAGCGCTGTATAAAACAAATGCATTATTATTAAAACTAGTAAAATAATCTTTTGACAAACTACATTCAAGCAAAAAAAACTTGCCTTTGAAAAAATGAGCACAATCTAAGTTTTTTTAGTTAATACATTTTAACGATATTTGACTTTTTTCAGCACCATTTGTTCATACACTGCAAAAAATGATAAAGCATGAGGTCTTTGTCCCGTTGGAAAATCTGGTTTAAAGCCTCAGTCAGAATGTGCTCAAATTAAGATACATTTTGCCGAATTCTAGGTATTTTTCATGTATTTTTTTATCACATTTTGCAGTGTAAAGGGGCAGATGACCTATATGTCCTTGAATGTCCTTGATCGTCACCATGGATACGGAGCTGGAGTCCGTAAACAGCAAAGGAATAAAAGTGACACAAAAACGCACACACGTACAAGATTCTCTGCCAACTGCTGTAGCTGCTCAGTCGTTCTGCCTCCCCCCCTCCCTCGTTCCCGACTCCCTCCCTCCCCCTTACCCCCCCCCCCCCCCCCCCCCCTTCCTCTATTTGACTAACTCACTTTTGCTCCACATCTGGTAGTGATCGAGCCGACGGAGAGAGAGGAAATGAAATCTGACAGGACTCCGAGGCTCAGAGACTCCGAGACTCGCAGAGAGACATGACTCACCCTGTCTCCCCCCTCACAGACCTGTCCCCCCCTCACAGACCTGTCTCCCCCCTCACAGACCTGTCCCCCCCTCACAGACCTGTCTCCCCCCTCACAGACCTGTCCCCCCCTCACAGACCTGTCCCCCCCTCACAGACCTGTCTCCCCCCTCACAGACCTGTCCCCCCCTCACAGACCTGTCTCCCCCTCACAGACCTGTCCCCCCCCCTCACAGACCTGTCTCCCCCCTTACAGACCAGTACCTGTACCAGTACCAGAGAGGGACCAGAGAGAGAGTGGTGTCTGGTGTCTCCCTGGTTTCTCTCTGGTCTCTCTCTGGTCTCTCTCTGGTCTCTCTCTGGTCTCTCTCTGGTCCCTCTCTGGTCCCTCTTTGGTCTCTCTCTGGTCTCTATCTGGTCTCTCTCTGTCTGGACTCTCTCTGGTCTCGCTCTGGTCTCTCTGGTCTCTCTCTGGTCTCTCTCTGGTCTCCCTCTGGTCTCTCTGATCTCTCTCTGGTCCCTCTCTGGTCTCTCTCTGGTCTCTCTCTGGTCTCTCTGGTCTCTCTCTGGTCCCTCTTTGGTCCCTCTTTGGTCCCTCTTTGGTCCCTCTTTGGTCCCTCTTTGGTCTCTCTCTCTGGTCCCTCTCTGGTCTCTCTCTGGTCTCTCTCTGGTCCCTCTTT